TATTTATTTTTTAATTTTTTTACAGGTTTAGATGAAACTAGCTCATGCTTTAGTGCTGTGCAAAGTTTTTTAGCATATCAACATTTAAATTATTGATATGAAATAAAAGAATGGCATCCTTTCAATTACGTCTGCCTTCGAAAATCAGCTCCTGATTTTGATACCATTGCAAGCACTAATACCGAATGCAGGTTACGTAAAGAAACAAAACTAGTAACTATGGCAGAAGTTCTTCTTTTTTCTTTTTAAACTTTAGTAAGTCTTTTGAAGTCTCTAATGAGGAAGCATGACACTGGAGTCTAAGGTACAGATGAGAAAAATGACCGAAAAAACACCAATTGCCAATATTCAAATACATAAAATTGATTAGTAAATGATATTTTCTAACATTTATGCACAATAATAAAAGCCTATGAACTACAGGAAACTACCCCTCCCATATTAAGGCTAGGAAACGCACTCTCTGCACTTGTTTGTGCTGTCTGAATAAGCACTCGGCTAACGTACGAGATCAGAGCACACGCAGTAACCAAGAAATCAGTTTCATCAGCCCTCTACAGAGTGCTTTTAAATTACAGGCACATAGTTTTTTTTTTTGTTTCTTGCAGTGAAAATATATATAGTTAGACTTGGTTTAGTTAGTATTCTGTGCCAGTTTGGCCACCAAGGTTGACTTAGGTAGAATTGACTTAACAGTTTTTCCTTTGATTTGGCCATAAGTGAGATTTGTTTTAGTTATTAATATACTATTTTCCAGTGTTGCATGATACATCGTGGGTTCTTACTAGGTGTCTCAAATATTGTTAGAGGTTGTTGATGAGAAATATACTGTCAACCGTATTTAGTGCAAATTGCATCTAGAAAGCTTGACTGGTTAGACCTGGTTAATGGAGATTTCTGTGGTAGCAAATGACTCCTGCTATGGAAAAGAACACAAACCTTTCTGGAGATTGAATTCTTTCAAGAACTGATGCACTGTAAGATTATTCAACAAACAAAAAGGAGGAATTGAAAAAAATAAACAATGAAAGTGTTCATTGATCTTTCTCTTTTTTTTAAAAAAAAAAGACTAATGAGACAGTGTTCGTGTAATATTTCAGTTCCATGGATTTACAGACAGGCTCTTCCTACAGGTGTTTGAAGCAAGGTAGGGCCTCTTCTATTCCAGCAGCATGAAAGACAAAGACTATATTACATCACACTTAGCAGGTAAAGCTAACAGGGTTTACAGGATTACACAGCAATTGCTTTCTCCAGTTTTTTCACGGTTCCTTTGACCTGCAGAGCAAGAAGAAAGTTTTGCTTACATGCCGTGTCTAAAGCAATTAGGCTGTTCTGTGTTGAAGTATGCTTAATACAAGTCTGTTCTTTATTATTTTCAGTTAGCAAGTTATTTATTATTATACATGTGCACACATAACTGAAAAATAAATCAGAACTAGTTTTTCACAATAAGAACGAAAGCTTTTAAAGTTTGAGTAAATTTCTGTGTGCTACAAAAATGCTAAACCAACAAGTTAATTTCTTGGTTTTCTATAGACATGTAGAAAAGCATTCCATTACTTCCTTCACAAAAGAGCACAAGGACTTGGCTTTTCTCTGTCATGAAATACTCAAGAAGCCTCTAAGAGATCTGCCCACCAAGAAATACCTGCAGTGCACAGCCTACCTTGAGAGTTTGGCTCTGGCAATGTCTCTCTCGCCACCAAATGCATCACTGTTGTTTTGCCAAAAGGAAGTTTTAATGCTGCAAAAGGAGTAAAGGAGAATTAACACATTACAGAAGTCTTTTTTTTCCTTCAAAGAACCCAACTGAAACCAACTATAACTGGACTAGCATCTGCTGAAAAGTTCCTACTGTTAGGTTTGAACTGCCTACTGGTTAAAGTTCTGTAAATCAGGGCCTTGGGACATGATAATAGTCACTTAAAACACCACATTCTTAGAGACATGAGGTTCCTCCTAGGAAACTTCGCCTTCCTCTTTTGAGTAAAAGCAGAAGTGGGAATTCATGCCAAGACTCAGGTGCTAAGCAATCTTTAGTCACAAGGGATGGAAAAAAGTGGCTAATTCAGCCAATAAATTGTTATTCCCGGGATAGCAAAACACTACTGCAAAACAGGTTTTCCTAAAACATACTTCGATCTCTGACACAGATTTTTTTGAAATACAACATGTCTGCATCTTGCCTTTTAGGACTAATCTGTAACATCACCTGCATGTAAGAAACATCACATTTTCAATGAGATACAGTAATTCTCACAGTGCTGCCTTTGTCGGCTTTGGCAACACGAAACAGAAACAATGGTACTTCCCACAACTGGTTCTGCTCATTTCTGAAGCTGAAATAATTTTCACGTTCAGATTTAAGCATACAAACACCAGGCTGTATTTATGGGTTTAGCACTCTATTATAATACTTATCAAAACCTCTAGTCTCCTTGAAATGAAAGGATTCTCTGTTGCTCATTATATTTAGCAGATTCTCACTGACAGATTCAATATTCTGAACTTTGACTTCCTCCTTTTTGGGGGAGGGAGGAGCTGCTTTAACAAGTTCATTATGTAACTTCAGTTTTGCTTCCTCTCTCCAAATCCTATGATTCTTTTCCTTGATCATTTCTCTGAGAAATATAAGGTAAAGAGTTTTGTCCTCCCCACCTTGTAGAGGAAATAAGTTAGTGATAAATTTTAAAAGAATTTAATCATAACTACACAAATCATTCTGATTTGAGTAGAATTTGGCCTCTCAGACTCAAGTTACATCTTTTATTTTCACGTATGGTGCATCATGGCATTTTAAGTAAATAAATGAATAATGAATAGCAAATAAACCTGAAGGTAAACAAAGAGAAAAATACTTCTCTGTTTTAATCACTACAGCATAGATTAAACATTCACTAATAAAAAATAAACCTAGTATTTGGTAATTAGATGTATTCAATACAAGCCTTGCTAAAACACTGCCATTAAATCATTTTCATTGTCTACGTATTTGCTTGAAAAAATGCAAGTTATGATTAAAACAGGTTAAAATACAGGTCTAAGCATATGAAGGGATACAGAACTCCACAAGCTTCTTTGAAGTAGCTGTACTTTGGGAAAAGACATCTCTACAGAAAGGCAAATTTGAAAATTGCTTAGTTTACTTGAAGCAGTGTCTGTGCCTGCAACAAGAACCTATTGATAGTGTGAAGTCTGACAAAGATGATGTATTTTAGGTACTTGATACTGTGATACAACTGAAAACTCTAACAGACTGTTAATATGCTCTTCGCAAACTCAATGGAAAGGATTGTCTTCATAACATAGACAGCTGAAAAGCCATTATAGAAAGAGCAAAATATTACCAACTAATCACATTAGGGACATCTTTCATAGTATCAAGACACTGCAGGAGACTTGTGGAGATTAACTGTTTACAGTAATCAAGTAGAACTATGCAAATTTTTCAACTAACCAATTTCAGCTAGTAGCTCACAAAGTTCACCCAAGTTCTCACTAGCAATTTGCAGCTTCTTGCTTGGAGCACCATGACAGCATCTGAGCGCTCTAAGCTATGCTCAGTAATCCCTTCTTGCTCTTCTCTCTGTTCTCTCATCCCTTTCTCTGACTTAAAAATCGTATTTCATTCCTTTCCCATCTGTTCAATTCCACTGTTGTTCCATATTTTCTGTTGTCAGAATTTACTTCTCAGTCCCTTTGGATAGCACAGGATGGGTTGACTTTCTTTCTCCACCTCCAACCTCCAACAAATAAGGAAGTAAAACTCTGCTGGTTACCCTTATCTACCAAGAAATGGAGAACTGTTGATTATGTATTACTTCCACAATTAATATTATTTGAAATGCAAACTGCAGAACAAATATTTAGCCAAAGGATGAAATTTCCTGTTGGAAGCTGAACAACAGACACTGCCTTGCTAGCCAACTCCCCAACCCTGTGCACAAGCAGGACACAAACAGTGTGGCTCAAGCACTGCAGGCAAGAGTGGCACAGAAAGTTTTACACAGGGCTCTATTTTTCTTTACCGTGTCCAGTGCCATTAGCTCTACTGTTCTTGTAGTCAAAGTCCACTCAGAGAAGCTATCAAAACGTTTCTTTGAAATAAAATTTTTCACTCAAACCCATTTTTTCCTATCAGTTTGTTATTTTTCAGGCCTTTTAGTTTGTATGAGTCCCAAATTCAGAAGCCACTGCACAGACATGTGAGGTTAGAACATTAAAATGTAATTTTTCAACACAAACAAAACCTGACTCCCATTGAAAAAGAAAACACTAAACTGTTTCCTTGGAAACTTTTGTTTCACTGGATGATAAATTTACTTTAAGTAGGTCCAAATTCCAGTCAATATTGCCTAATCACCTAAAGCAAATATAATACTAAGCGCTATAACTCAGTCAGAGAACTGCAGCCAGAAAAGCTTAATGAAACTGTGCTATAACAGCATAAGAAACTAAGCATTGTGTTTAGCAAGAAATTTCCTCCCCACTCCACCTCCCCTTTAAAGGCAACTAGTTCACTTAGGATTACCTCTAATGAACACCACAAACTGAATCAGGCTGTTTCATCAATTGCTGTTCCTCTTTCAGCTATATAATCTTACTCCAGATAACTTCATTAGTACTGAAGTTAAGCCAATGTTTTAGGTATTCTTTTTCTTAAATAATACAGCAACAAAAGGATCTTTGACAAATACTAATACACACGTAAGATCCTTGGGGTAAAAACATGATGATTAAATCGCAACGCATGAATGATTAAAAATGAACTAAAATGCCCCAAACCCAAGTAAGTGTTCCAAATTCATAGATCTAAGTTAATGCAAGAGTCACCAGCATGCAGCTATTATTCCCCAGCTTAACTCATTAAATAATGTATCAAATATATTAAATATTCAAAGTTGTTTCAGATTTAGAAAAATGTCACTAAAGGGTACAAATGCTGGTGGTCAAGGGCAACACCCAGAGATGAATGATGAAAAAGATCCCATTTAGCTATCCTTGCCTGGAAATATAGGGTAAGACTAGCATCTTTAATAGCAGAGATGATCCAAAACTTAACATTTGTCTCTGAATTCTACCCCAACTGCTACTAGCTGCACTCATTGTCACCTGGTAAAAATACAAATTAAAAGACTGAGTAAAAAGTTCAGAGTTCTTCCAGCTGAACTGACAATGATCGTCTTTGTATATATGGTAGCATTAAAAATTTATTTATATGGAGAGTAAAGCTATTCTAGAAGTACATCACTAGCCAGCACAGAGAATGACAGAAAGTGAATCAATGGTTGTATCATCCCAGTCACTTCTTCATGGAACATCGCCATAAACAGTCGAGAAACATTATTTTCAGGTTCGTCTTAGCTTCAAAAACATTTCACTGGTGACTTTGTATTATATTTTCCTTTCTGTACTCCATTCAAGTACTAAGCCATGAACAATCTGAACATAAGTAGGTGCATTAATTTATTTTTAGACTGGCACAGGAGTCTGATTTTGTTTAGTTACCAATGCAGTTGATATTTACACTGGCAGATGCTACTTGCAAAAGGAAAGATTACTGTTACAGATGTGTGTCACACCTCCGTCAAAGACTCCCATCAAAACACGCAGTTGTGGGGGAACACTTGCCACGAGGGGGCACAGTTGAATTGCATTTCCTCAGCACATGAAGTGAAGCCATTTACTGTTGTTTTCGCATAACTATGCAATTGTATCCCTGGGAGAGCACTGGACAGCAAGAATGCCTCCCCTCATTCTCATTCATAGGATGTCTGCCTGCATTGCACTAAGATTTAAAGTATTGTTTGACCAGTTATCATAAAGTTTATCAAGCATTTTAAAATGCTTCCGGCATTTACTGAGTAGCTTGCCCTGCGAGTGCAAGGTAAGAGAGATGGAACAAAATATTCCATTTAGAAACACAACAAATAAAAGCAGCATTACAGTTTCTTTGTGCTAGAGGAGACTTGACTTAGCAGGTGGTACCTCCCAAAGTTTAACAACCAGTGGTAACAAGATGGAAAAACACACATTAAGGTACAATGTCACTCTATGCAGAGGAAAAAGAGCATAAAGCAAGTCATACTGTGATCTTGAACAGCAAAGTAGTATTCACTGCACTATAAATAAATATCCTCTTTGCCTGACTGTAACATACATCATGAAAATTATTTTCATACCTCCTAATGTCACATTGCCATGAAGAAACCTCCCTTGATAAATAAGCCGCAAGATATTTGGACTGCTGACTTGTTCTTCTTCCCAGTCTGGAGAGAGAGAGAGAGAATTTCCAGTTACATTGTAATAAAAACATCTTTTGTTATTTCTCTCACCTTTACCCAGGAAGAAAACTAGGAACATGACTCTTCTGCACGAAACATGAAAGAGAGAGCATGGGCTAAAGGTACAGGATGATAATTCAAGGGCAGCACTCATGAAATCTACTCTTAAATTCGTCATTTGACATAGGGCATCGAAACACATAATTTTATGTCTACAAGTATAAATATTACTAACTGACTTCATGGACTGCAGGAGGTATTTTGCACATATACAAGTCCTACACAAAACATTAATGCTTCCTGATTCTTAATATCCAGACTAACAGTGCCTTAATTTCTTCCCATTCACAAGTTCCTCAAGCCACACTCAACAGCTAACCGACTAACTGGAGCCGTTCTCAGTCAGTGGGAAGCAGCCACACACAGCGCCAAAGTGCATGTGATGGGTCACTTGAAACAGGACTCGGAGATCACAGCAGTGAAAAAATTCTCTGAGGCTGCAGAGCAGTGTTCGATGAGGGCCAGATCCAGCCAGCCGCATGTCCAGAGGGGGCCGTGACCCGAGCAGCCCCGCGGAGAGCGGGCAGAGGCGCTCGGCACAGACACCCACCCGCACATTGGAAGGAACTGCTCCAAGGCCAATCTGTGGATGTTTGTATGTGGCAAACAGTGGTTTGGGAAAAGCAAGCATGTGTTTTCCTATAATGCTGAAGCCATCGTAAATAAATTATAAGCTTAAATGATCTTTTCCTACTCTCTTACCATTCCCTGTCACAATGTGAAGAGCAAATAAATATGCACTTTGCTTTCAGAACAAGTATCATAAAACCTTGAAATGCTGGATTTAAATGGGCTCTCTGGGAATGCAGTGTTTTCTGTTTCTCAGCTGACCAAGATATCTGGCAACAGTTGCTCACAAATGTTCTCTGTTTTTGCTTTTGTAGTGTTTATATACCAAAATGAATATTCATCAAGGGATCACGACAAGCCGCAGAAACCAACCTGTTCACTGGGAACGCACAATTAACATACAGGCAGTAGCAACTGGCACCACAAAGGGAGAAGAACTAAAAAGGGGAGAAGGGGAAACATTTAAAACAAAACCCGTGGCTGCAGAGCGCACGGAGAGGCATCTGGTGCAAAAAGCAAGCAGGCAGAGACACAGGCAGCAGGAGTCAGCACGGCCCAGAGGTGGAGGCAGGGCTGGTACCAGCAGCAGAGGCTGCAATATTCCTGGGCGCTGCCATGTGCCTAGTTTATAAGATTAAATCAAATTAGGCAACCAAAGCTATTTGAATTTCAAGTATTTCCACTCAGGGCCTGATTCAATTGTCTTGCAATTCAAGCACATGCCCTTTCCGCGAGGCTGTGAAGTGAGCTACGTCAAGGATCTAAATTATCACACTGCTAGGATACCAATTTATTTTTTTTTTACTCCATAGAGTCTGAACTCCACTCTGTAACTCCACTCTGAGCTCCACTTTATGTCTGTAAAGAGGAGAAATTCAGCCAGTTTACACTGCCATAATGACGCAAAACCACAACCAAAAGAAGACAGACTATATTTTGGCACAGGAATTTGCTCATTGTTAAGCTGCCAAGTTACCCATCTTTTTAATTTTTGCTTCTTGGCCGGCAGTCTGAAACATTTCTTTCTGACATGAATTCAAATTTTAATTTCCACTGATGACTAAATGAGCCAAGGACTCAATGAATCTACCTTTTCTTTTAAGTTCAGATAATTGCTGTACAAGAAAAAAGTTCGTATTATTTAGAAGAAAATGGGGAGGGGAGGTGAAGAACAGGTAAACTACCCAGACAACATGCATTAACATAAATTTGGCATTTTCTACTACAAGTCAAGGGATCTTTAATTAACAACTGTATTGCCAAATAAGAGGGGGAGTCGTTTGTCTTAATCCTGCCAGCATGTGACTGTCTTGTGACTTTTGCCCATGAGATCACGACCTGTCAAAATGGTAGTAAAAAGAGTAATTTTCAAGGAAACTTTAGTCCTCATCAGCCAGTTTCTCAGTCCTATGCCAAGAAGAGCACTCTGTTTGAATACAGCTAATGGGCTAATGTTTGTGAAAATCTGTAATGCTATTCTGAAGTAGGGTTTTTTTTCCTGCCTTTTAAACTGAGATTATTCTTCTTTGCAAAGGCAATTAAACATTCATCAAGATTTAGAGCACTCCTTCAGGACAGCAGGTATTGGAACTGAGGCTTCCATGTCTGGTTCTACTTTTGGTTTTTTTTAAAAGAGGAGACTTTAAAGTCTGTATTTCTTCCCAACTCTAAACTCAGAATCTGCAACTTTCAAGCTCACGAGACTGGGAACATGACAACACATGTTCAGGCATAAACTAAAGTAAGAAAAAAAAATCCAGTACTGCCTTTACTAATTCGAATAAAAGTACACAAAGAACATTACGACAACCATGTTGTAGGCACACATTAAAATATGTACAGCAGCTACACAGATGCTATGTCAACCACATTTCTTACTGTTAAAGGGGTTAACATCTATTTCTAATACTTCAGAGTACTAAAACCCTCTTCCTTCATTGCATGTTTTACTAAATACATAATACTGCATCCCAGCAAATCAAACAGCAAACAAATCCCCTGAAACTCTGTTTTTCCTAACCTCAAAGACCAGTTTAAGGCTTATCAACACTAACTTTTTGGCATGAACTATCATCCACCATATGTCTTTGACAAAGCCACCACAGAAACAGATAGTGCAATGTTTTAGTTTGTGTAAATAGTAGCCTTTTTAACATCAAAACAGTAACCCAAATGAAGTCCTGTACCAAAAGAAGCATTTTCTTTCATCGTATGTAATGCTATGTCTGTGTTTTGGCTATTTTCCCATGAAATCATAGTCGGGGAGAACAGAAGCACTTTGTTTTGGGGCACTATTCACATATGTGAATACACATCTTAAAGTCTCAAGTCTGTTTTCCAAGGACAGTGTTCCTGTATAACACCAAATATATTCACACAAACAACCTCCAGTCTTTTAATGTCTCTTAAAATGTGCTTTTATATTTGGGGACTTTTCCTGGGAAAATATCATTATTACAGATATTTTCCAAGATAAGGCAGTAAGGAAGAAGTCCTTAGACTCAATTTCATCAGTGTGCTCCTGTGACAAGCCATGCTTTATATTAGCTGTCCTCACATAAGAGGTTTTATATCGCCAACATTTCCTTACACTTACTAGATCCTCTAACATGATTGATCAAGAAAAGTGTTTAAAGATAGGGTGAAAGGAGTACTTTGGTTTGGGGAAGCAAATTTTAGCAACAAAGTAGGAAACAATCTAAAAATCCACCCAATTGAAGAAACCGGGAAAAAGAAGGCAAGACAACTATATTTCTATATAAATCTATGTCCAGATACAGAATAAACAGATTTGACTGTTGAGCACAGAGACCAGTTTATTGACACTTCAGTCTGAAAATACAGGGGAGCTCCCAGCTCACCAGCTGAAAAGCCAAAGCCACAGAGCTACTCACCCATCGGCCAGTTGTCATACACATGTTTCGCGATATCTGCAGCAGAGTCATTCGGGGAAAATAGGAACTCTTTTGTTTTCCCACTTACCAAGATGAGGCGCAAATTTATCTGTTAATAAATAAATAAATCAGCATTAGGAAAATTTACAGAGCAGACTTACATTATTTTTTTAAGTTACTATAAAGTTGTCATTGGTTTTGGAAGAAGATTGTCACAGAATATTCAGAGTTGGAAGGGATCCACCAGGATCATCAAGTTCAACTCTTGGCCTTGCACAGGAAATCCCCAAGAATCACACCATGTGCCTGAGAGCATTGTCCAAAGATTGATCCAAATGATTTGAGAAAACAGTTTAAGATGGTGTTAAAAATAGGGTCAAAGAGGTCAATAAAATTATGTTTGCTTACACAATCTAGGAAGATTCAATTCTAACAGCTGGCGTTTGTAATTGTAAACACCAGAAGATTCTGATAGGTAGTGACTGAATCAACTGTGCCATTAAAGAAAACTTTCAACAGAGTAGAAGAGAAATTCTAGCAAGGACACACTGGCAACACAGTCTCTTGAATGCAGAGGAAAAACACAAACCTGAAAAATTAACTTAAACAGAGAGCATTAAAGATACCAAAATTTGCACCTGAATAGCCTGTGAGCCTAAAATAGAAGCCCTAGCACACTTCCTCCAGCGCATCTCCTAGAAAGCACCAGGGAGTCAGACAGCATCCTTCCCCGGCCCCAGCTGCCACAGAACTTGAGTCCCTCTGCCAGTCTTCTGAATCCAAAACTTTTTGTCCCACCACTGTATTTCACTACAAGCAAAGTGGTCAAGGTCCACATGCAACATGGTAGTAACACCACACCATAATTTTGATACCATTAATTTCCTTTAGCTAACAATCGGCACCTTCAGCCATAATTTTCCTCTCTTCTACTTGCAAATTACTGAATACAATTCCTTTTCCTTGTTTCATTAAATAACATTTTCCAGTTTCATTAAAATAACCTGTATGAAGAGCTCACTGTGACATTATTTACAATGCAAAAGAGATTAAATTTTGGCTCCTCAAGCAACTGCTAGCTTTGGGTAGCTAGCACTTACCAATGCCCATAGCCAGCAGGAGTCTCGCTGCTATTGTGCTTTGACCAACAAGCCCACATTTTGTCAACACAGAGCAAGACTTTAGTATAGTAACTGCTTGGATACTTCTTTCCCAAATCACACTTTCAAACTGTGGCTCTCACTTTAAGGTAAGTTGCAACAAGGTTTTCTTTGTTGGCATTCAATAAACTGTTTACTACATCAAATGCAAAGGTAAAAAATTACAGCAGTGCCCAAGTTTTCAAGACTTCTTCAGGGTCAAAAATCTCAGTGCATCACATCCACTGAACATGAAAGCCCTGACTCAGTTACCTACTCACCACTTATTTCAGAAGCTCTCTAGACAGACTGTCTATTCCCTCTTGAATGTTTTGGCTTGGATTCATCCCACCTATCTTTAAGCACCTAATGGAGGTATCCGAATTACAATCTCTATGATATAGCACACTTCAAGGTCAATGAAGAAAATTACCCCTCCTAAAAGCAATTCAGTCTCTATTTCTAAGTGTAGCAAGTATAAAAAGAGTGAGCATAAAAGGGCTAGGTTCCCCTCCCTGTACTCCTGCTAACACCCTTCGGAAAATACAAGTTCTACCATTAGCCCAGGAAAGAAGCCAAGCAGTAGCTGTCTCTGAGAAAGCACCACAGCTGCTGGAAGAGTATTGCTGTATGTCAGGAAGTCGCAAAAAAACTTATACGAGAGAAGCTGCAGG